TATTCGGCTTATTTGTTTCCTAAGAGTCTATGTACAGTAACGTTTAAATAGGTATTTAAAAACCGGTCTAGGTATACATACGAAACTAAAACGTGTAGTGTTTGTTAAACTGTCAAATTAAAAAACCGCACGGTAATAATCATGAAGTGACTATCTTCTTTTCGATGTTCGGCTTTAAGATGAACGGCAAATACAAGGAATAATATTTTAGTCAAGGCTACCATCAAAAATATGAAATAACGATATCCTATGTTTCGTATATTATATGACTTTATTACTTTTATTAAATTCTTATCCTAAGCTTTTATATAGTAGAAACCAGTTATTAGAAACACTTTTGGACCAAGGTAAAATGTGTCAATTAACCGATTGTTTCTAATAAGCGATTGGTTTTATTTATAATGAAAAAAATGTATAATTTGAAAAAAATATTTACTGTGAAAAAAAATGTATATGCTAAGAAAAATACATGTTTATCGTTGTCTATTGTTTTGCGTCGAATAACTTGATGATCATGGTTTCGTAAAAAAAATGTTGCCCAAAGCCTTTTTCATCCATACGGTGCGTGACTGTTCTTCTGAGGACACTTAGAACTTCTATAATATCTTTACTTCATGGGGATTCCTTGCTGTTTTCTTCTTCTTCATCTATGACAGCATGTAATAAATTGTTCGAGTATTTATAACCCCATACAGATATCTTCTTCTGTTGGAACCTCTGAAAAATCGAGGTGAGAGTCTACATCAATCCAATCTTCGTAAACTTTTTCCGAGAGTTCGACTGATTTCGATAGTAACGACATCAGATAAAATACATTGTAATTACAATACATAGGTTATCGCCAAATAACCGGGATTTTTCGACGACCTTATTGTTTCAAATGACCGATATGTTATTTCAATAACGCGATTGTATCAATTATCCGTGTTCTTAATAAGCGGCTTCTACTATGATATATTATGAAAACTCATTAAAAGTGAATTCATAGTCGTTAATTAATAATCACTATTTAAGTTATGATAACCTTGTTATAAGAACTATTTAGATATACTCTCAATACAAGATATTCGAAAAATGCTTGGTAATTGTTTGAATAGATTAAAACGTATTATTGTTGGTCACAATCAGTGTTTATTTTAGAGGAGTGATTATGAGGGAGGTATTATCCCCGAAGAAAAATGTATTCTCGTCCTCCATAAAATGTTCAATTATTTATTAATTGTTAACTCCTATGATGGCATACCACATACCCTCGAAAATGTACGATACCTTCCTCCGGAAAGAAGGTCCGAAATGTTGATCTCAAAAATATTTTTTATTGACATAATAACAACAAAATAACATTTAAGAAAACTAATTGATATATTGGGTATTAAATGTAAATCTTATTTTTTAATATTTCTTTAAATTTAGAACGTATAATATTATGTAATGTATAAATTGGATACATACAAAAATTTGATATTGGACTTTTTTTGATGTATAAAGAGTAGGTAATTGAATGGAAATTTTTTTTTTGAATATATATTTTTTTATCGTTCATCAAGAGTGAGTTACTAGAGTGTTTGATTAATTTTACTAGAAGAATTGAATAGTTTGTTATTTGTAAATTAGCAAATTGGATGGACGCAGTATTAAAACTAAAAACATTTTGCGTAACGTAGTTTTGATAAAACTACTCGTCCATCGTTCTAAACTGTAAAATATTGTAAAGGCGAACTATATATTATTTATGTCTTTTAACAAAATATTTTTCGCATTTATAATATTTTGGAATTTTGAATGACGGATTAAGTAGAGTTCTACCGAAACTACGTTCGTAAACATGTTGTAAGTTTTAATGCTGTGACTAGTATTATCTAGTTAAAAGTAGATACGATAACCGATAAAAGAGTACGCATACATATAATGTGTGATTATAGTAGTGACGACCACCGATCGGACAACGACTAATAATAATTATTATTCGGGTTATGAACAATTTACATTTTTTTGAATTCAAATAAAATAAAACTCAATTTCAGTAATATCTGTACATTTACACCGTTAACATTGACCTTGTACTGAGCTTAGATATTAAGTGGTACCTTGAAAAACATGAATTACCTATGACATTGTAAAATTCTTCATAACTAGTTTCTGTAAGCAATACATTTTTTAGATTTCTTGATTAGAGACTTAATTATATTTAAAGAATTTACGAGATGTTTACGTCTACCACTACTGGCTGAAGGGTAATTTTTATTGGAAGACTACACGGACAGTAAATGATAATGCAAGTGTCGTTTTTAATGAATATGTTATAACACACGAAGTTTAATTTACGGTAAATTTAGTATATCAATACACGGACAAAATAATAATAATAGTAGTTAAATCGTACACGTATTCTACAGAATTAAAAGTATATTTATTTTCAAAAATTAAATTTGAATAATGTCAATAAGCAGGGGTGGACGCAGAAAAAAATTTCGGGGGAGGGGGTTGAAAAATAAGAATAATTACCGTCAGGCCACTATTTAAAAATTTGGCACTCCCGGGCATATTATTTTATTAGTCCCCCCCCCAAAAAAAATAAATAATAATAATATAACACATATTATTTCATCTATAATAGAAATTCTTTAATATTAAAATATAACTTATAAATGAAAATCATTTAATACTTTTTTTCATTAGGTACATCATTGTTAAAATTAATTTTGCTAAAATATTTTGCCGCCTCCGGACATATGCCTACCCGTGCCCCCACTAAATACGGGCCTGATTATCTTTATTTTGAAATAATTGACTATTGACTATAGATTGACTACTGTCGATCGTTATCACATGACCTTACCTGTACTATTGTAAATAATATTATATCCATTTTGTATTTTTACTTACTGATAATAAGCGACTTACAAACACGCATTATTTTTATGAAGTATTGCCATCATAGAATTTCAAAAATTTGAGTTCTAAGTACCAATACCTTTTAGAACGTTTGGAAAATTACAAATGATTACAAATTACTTTTTTTAACAAAACATTTTTTTCTAGCTTATTTTAATCCTATTTTGAACAATTCATTTTTTTAAGGTACATAAGGTAGGATATCTACGTTTGAAATTAATCATCCATTAATTTCAGGGGGGGGGGTTGAAACCCCAAAACCTCTCCCTGCGTCCGCCACTGGCAATTAGTATCGTATTATAGTACCATTAAACCCGAATTTAAAGCTATTATCTTAAATACCAAAGTAGGATCAAGAACTTAGTTTAATAAATCGCTATGTTAAATGTACCTATGTAATGATAAAGGATGTTTATTACATTAATAGTTTTAATTCATTTTTTTTTGCAGGATTCTCTGTTCTATGTCTAAAAGCTAAAGCTATTTGTTACAAAATTAATTCAAATAAATTATCAATATATTTATATTTTAATTTAATGTTGAACTATTTAAATAAAAAATTAACAAACAGGTCAAATTTTAATTATATTTTGTGAAACTCAATTTTGAAAATTTAATATACATTGTATTTGTTCATGATATTTTAGAGTAATAAATGATAAAATATGGCAGTTTCTATTCAATAATAACTGGACAACATATTGAAATCAAAAAATTTATTTAATATTTATGAAAAAATTTGTATTTTAAATTATTTTATGTTAATGTTAATAACTATAATAAAAACCTGAAGAATAAATTATTATCACCTTTTAATTAGACTCATAATTTAATTCATATATATATATATATATAATAAAACATATTGAAATATTTACATATATCATACTTAAACTTATATTCCTATATATATATATATATTTATATCAAGTGTACATTGAAAAAAAACAATATCCATTTATATATAATATATATAAATGGATATTGTTATATATATTATATATTTTATTATTATATATTATTATATTATTGTTGTATATATTATATATATATAGGCCTTAATAGCATATATTTTTTTGTTTTACATATGAAAACTTCATTCTCATACTTATAAATACATATATATATATATATGCTGAGCAGTTCTTTTACAAATTATAAAATATAGAAATAATTCTAAACTCAGTCTTTCTTGTCTGTTTTAGTAATTTGTTTTTATATATAAGCTATCTTTGTATTAGTAGTATTTGTATGGCCAAAGACCATGGACAGCAAGCCTTGCAAGTGCCCAAATTTTATGGAGCCTTATTTAGTAAAAGTATATTGGTCATTGATTAAATGTTATGTTCAAATTGTGTCTACCATCAGTTTAACATATTTTAAAATCTATACACCTTATATTAAACGATAGCTAAATATTAAATATTTTTAGATTTTTGGTTTTAATAAAATCATTGTTAACATTTTAAGTACCAAACTAGAAGTGCACTGCTGTGTAATCAGCAACTGTGACTATGAGGTTAGCTTTGATGCAGTACAAAACCAAGACCACAGAAGAAACAACAGTCAAAGCAACAAAACTACAAATAGCCAGTGTAAGCAGGAAATAAGAAAAAACTAAAGAAGCAACAACAGCAGTATGATATAAACATAATCTAAATGAGAGATAGAGATTGCATGGACTACAACAATAATTGGGAAAAATGATTAGGACATTAAGAATACAGGTAGTCCCCTGACATAAATGTAATACAAAAATCAGAACTATAAATTTGACAATATTACCCAATGGTAGAGAAGGTTTACATCGATAAGTAATAAAACAAATTGATTACAATAGAAGTGAAAATGATTCAAATTTATTTGTGAAAAAGTTTACTAATATTTATTACACTAAAATTATACCACGTTCTATGGGATGTGATGGACATATACTTGAAGAAAAAATTATAATATATATTAATTAAACATATAATTATTAAAATAATATACTCATCCTCTATTCAAATAAAACTCATATTATTTTTAAAAAATATACAGAAAAAATTCATATAAAATTATAAATATATGAAGAGCTTTATCGAAATAATGAATTGTTACATTACCTAATAAGATTATCCGTTGGTCGTCAGTGTTCATGGTATGGGTTGCCAATGTTGTCATGGTAACTCATTAAATATTAGTAAGAAAATTATGTTAGCTATTACAATAATACAATGTTACAATGAAATTCATGCGATAGTGCACCCGATCAACACTTGAATAAGCGAACAAAGTTCAATAAATTTGTACAATTTTTTATTTTATTTAAAATTACAATTATTAGTTTATTGTTTATACTCTCTCTCTCATACACATTTTTCTCGATTTTAGTTAGTCGGTTGCTACGAACGAGAGTAGGTATTAGAATAATGTACCGTGTGGATAATTAACATTGGTCGAACATTAACGACCGGATTGGCGGAATATTATTTACTAAAAAATATTTAAATCTGTTGGTTGTCGGGTCTCGTTCGCACACCGATAATTAAATGTCTTCAATGTGACGTAGATAAGCCACTAGCCGTCACAGAGCTTCAGACAACAAAATTAATTTTAGTATGTAATAATGATAATAATGGTAATAATAAATCCAGTCAGATACAATTTTTAAAATAAAAACATTTTATTTAATCTATGATAAAAGATAGTAATGTCACAGATTATATAAATAATACTACAATATTATATTCATATAGTCTGTGGTAATGTCAACAATGTACAGTTGTTGGAGATAACGAAGTGTTTACCGATGACAGCGCTCGGAAGTAAACGCGGACGAACCGCGAACTGCTGGAAACATTTGAAATTTGAGGTTAACAAAAAAAAAAAATTGCATTGAAAAGGAAAAGAAAAATAACAAAACAAAACAAAACGAAAAAAAAATCATAACGATTACGTACTGTAGTTCATTCTTACGGATTTATGACTTTCTATCCACCACTACGAATACATTGATACTTTTACGGTCATCTGTACGGTGTTAAAAACTGTCCCAGTTTCGTTGCTCTGCCCTAGTATTTTGCTGTTTGTTCCCTTTCCCTTAAAAACAAGTTTTGACGATCATGAACGCCGCTCAGTCACCAGGTAAGATATCTAGTTGTTACTAGTTTTCTTGCTGGCCACATCAGTGTCCCATTCGCCCGTTTTTTGTGCGTTTGTATTATGAAGTAATTATTAAACTGTGTTACTTGTTTTCATGTCGGCTGCAGTTCTGTTGCACAATGGCCTGTCAGAGGATAAATCGAGAAAACTTCAAATGCAGTTGATGATGGAGAAGTTGCGCAGCAAAGCACTTCAATCCCAGTACAAACCCCTAACAGACTCTATAAAAAATGTCAAATTGGCTTTACTGGTGAATGAATTACAGTCAAATAATAGACTATATGATTTTTACATTTATGGGCTACATAATGGTATTTTTTTGATTATATTTTTTAACCCAATTCATTTAATCTATATTTCGCAATACATTTGTAAAACTTAAGTATACTAAATAGTCTTGGGTTGTTATTTGTGTATCTAAAGGAGCAATAAAAAAAATTATTGTGATCTTGGCCTATACATGTAGATTATAATATAGTAATGTTTAAAAATTATCCATAGTTAACAATTTCATTACAGAATTTATGATTGTGAAATGTTTCGACTAAGATCGTTTCATAAAGACCATATAGTTCTGAATAATTTATAACACCGATTGAAAACAAGTATTAGTTCCTTATTGAATTTATATTTCCGGTACAATTCATTAAACAGTACTGAATTTCAAGATAACATATTTAATTTTCAAAATAGTATAATCCAATGATTTTGTCTATCATTATGTGATTCGGTTGCTATTATTTATGGAAAGATTTTAATGTCTCAGGGTAATTACTGGATTTTAATTCTCAAATTTAAAATTTATTTGTTTTCATTGATTGCAGATGCTGTTAATTAATGTTTATTATAATATAATTATTATAATTATTAAAAATCAATAAGTTTTGTTTTAATAAAAATTTGTAGTAAATTAATTATATTTTATATTTAGGAAAAACGTATTAATATTGATCCAAATGAAAAATGCCTTGTTCAAAAATCTCTAGATTTATTACAACAAAATATCAAAGTGACAACATTACAAACGATGATCGAACGTTTAGACAGCGTCAGCAGACATTTAGGGTAATTAGTTTTTCGTTTATTTATATATCTACTGCAGTGATTTTCAACCTTTTTCAAATTGCGACCCTTAATTTCTATTTTTTTTTTTTTAAACCCCTACAGTAAATAAATAATATATAAATGTATAATTACAAGTATCTTGTTTTAATGAGATACTTGTGCTTGAATTATTGTAACTATAGTTTCCATATTAGGTTTTATATTATAAACTGCTAATCTTAAATCTAGTTTTAATTTTTTATTAAATAATATATTTGTGGCTAAAATTATTGAAATACATGTATATGATACAAATGTATAAATAAGAATGCCATAAGATTGGTGACCATAATTGCTTATAGTTAATAATCCATCGTCAAATAAGATTACGTTACACAGTTGTTTATTCAATATTTTAATGTACATTCGTAACAATTATATTAAATTAATACATTTGATATGAAGAACCATTTGTTCATTATTTTTTAATTATCTTTTGCGACACTCAGGTTGAAAACCACTGATCTTCTGTGATAATTTATTATATTTTTCAACAAATATTTATACATTTTTACATTTTTTTTAGATTAAAGTTTACTGTAGGACCTTCTGGAAAAGATATATTTGTATCATCAGATATGTTTTATTTGGAAATTATATTAGAAGATAATGGAGGAGTAAAAGATGTGAAAATTCATCATGATGGAAAATCAGAACCACAAGTATAATTATGATGATTTATATTACCATAATTTATATATATATATTCATAAATATATACAAAAAATATGTTTTGAAATTACACATGTACTATAATATTATTAAATTTGTTATAGAGCTGTGCTGATCTTATTAAAAGTCTTGCTAACTGTGACTTTGCTGATTTTACATCTCAACTTGAGGGATTAGCATCTATTTATCAATTAAATGCAGATAAAATTATTAAATGTCGAGCATTTAATGCTCTTCAAACTTTAGAAGCCGATCTAGAAACTTTTGCCCAAGTTCATTACACTTATCATAAAGATTTAATATCATCAGTGCATAAAACTCCATTAGGAGTTGTTAAACCTAGAAGAGGAGGTATACAAAATAATGACAATACCTAATTAAATTTATAACAACATGATATATATTTTTTTTAATAAATATTATTTTTAGGTCATCCTATGAAATTGATTTTCTTTGTTTCTCCATATGATTTATTGGACGTTGAAAATAGTACTATGATGAATTTAGATAGAGAAAGTCTTGATGTTGGTTGTTTTGCCACAGTGTGTATAGAAGCTGCTTCTACAACTAATGTTCAATCAACTTCATTACTAAGTGCTACCAGAAGTGCAACTGGAATGAAGTAATTTTGTATTTATAAGCATGTTCAGTTTATTAAGTTAATAATTAAATTAAATATATTTTTAGTACACCAATGTTTGTGCCGTTTACTGTTCAAAATAGTATTACTTTACCGGCAGTATTTGTATTGAGATTGAATGAACCTATGCCAATATGTCTTCAACTTGCAGAGAATATTAAATCTGTGATTGAAATGGATTTAGAAATGTCACCGCCTAGATCATTATTAAGGATGATAATTGAACCAAGTTCACAGCCTCTTAGTGTTGTAAGTTAAAAGAAATGATTGCAGTATAATTGGTTTCATTAAAAATATTTCATGTAATTATTTATCGTATTGACAAAAATAGCAAATTATTTTAAGTAAATTTGTATTATTATTTGTATTTAAAAAAATTCTTACTATGTTAAACTATAAAAGACAGAAGTTCAATATTGAAAAATTAAAAATAATAAATATCCAATTTTATAAATACTTTATTGAGTGTAAAAGAAGTTAATAAACATTTTTTATGATTATGTTTACAACTATATATATATATATATATATTTATATTGTATGTATATAGTAATTCTAAGGCTGTCATACAATATGCTATTTACTACTAAATTGAAACTTCTGAAAATATATACTAATTCAGTATATATGTAACTACTGCTATATCTTTATTACTAATTACATAACTGAAATAAATCATTGTAATTATTACACACATAAAACAAATGTATTAAAAATATTTTGCCATGAAATCAATTTCAATTAGACTTCAAAGAAAACAAAAATCTTTGATGTGTTGATAAATAAGTCAGTACCAATTACTATATTACATGGATGATTCTTATTGTGGTTTGTTCTTAATAATTATTTTAGTGTTTGAATTATATAATTTTTTAATTTGTTGAACTCATTCATTAATGTTATTTATAACAGATGCACATATATGGAATATTGACTAATATCATACATTTAATAAAGTTTAATATATAATTAGAGATGCTTCTTGAGATGATAGCAGTGTATGGTTTATTGAATGTCATTTCTAATAGTTAATCAAATATAATAAAATGGAATTAGAGTTGTCTTATATATTTTTTAGTGTAATTATAACAAATAATATTAAACAATATTTAAAAGTTATATTTACTATTATAAAATTTGTACTATCATATAATTAACAAATTTAACAGATTACTAATTATACATCATGTTGTATAAACTCTTTAAACTTAACTATTTTTGATGGATAGTAAATGGTAGAGAAGAAATGGAAGTTACATTTTTTGTAGTTAATCTTTTTTTTTTTTTTTTTGCCAGACTTTACCAGATCAACAGCATTGTTATTTTTTGACTGATTCGAATCTAAAAGGTGTTTTTATTCAAAACATAAAATTTACTCACCCATCTCAAGTCACTAGAGTTATAGCATATCTTCGACAACAAGCTTTATTCAACTGTTTGATTCGTTCTTGTGTGCGTCCTGAATGCCAACAAGGTAAGTTGGAAAATTATTTAAAAGCAGTAGTATTTAATAACATATTAAATGTATGCTGATTTTCAGAAATCTTCAATACTACTGTATTTGAAATTGCTGCATATGAAGAAATGTCTTGGCAACATTTAGTTGTGTCATTTGAACATCCAATTGAAGAAAGTTTAGCTACAGCTGAATTTGATTTGTCTGATATATCTAGATTGCAGTGTCAAGTCTATACATCATCATCAGAAACGAACGGAGAATCTGTTTTGACATCCCCTGAGTTCGCTAGCAGAGTATTGCAAAGGTAAGTACATATTACATTTTATAAAAATTAATTTTAAAAATTAAATTTGTTTAGGTGTTTTTCGATTCCAATTACAATGCGAAGTCTTATTCAAACCTGGGAACGAAAAAACCAACAAGGCCTTGAAATTAACATAAAAAATAACTTATCTGGAACTGGAGGATCATCCAATTTAGGAGATGGCTCAGATCTTAATCCACATTTCGCTGATCCTTCAGCTGGTCCAGATTTTTCATCTGATCTAGATGTTAAACTAGAACCTATTGATGGAGCTAGTTCTCTTGATTGTTTTCCAGCATCAATGATTCAAAGAGATATTGATCAGTATATTTCAGATCCTTCATTTTTACCTGATATAGATTTTAATCAATTTCCAATGGATGTTGATCAAGAAGAACAAAAAGAGCAGTCGTCTTTTAGGGATGCCAGCCTTCAAGAAGATCCCCCTGATCTGAAAAATTCACCAACTAAGACTGAAGAACTGCTAAGCATATTAGCAGATGATAATGGAAAAGGTGAAGATGAAAAGCCTCCTCCAGATACAGGCCAAGTAATCATAGAAACATCTAGTGATGATTCGGTTGAAAAAAGTAGTTCAATAGTTTCTGGTGAATTTGATGCTATCAATGAAGACGTAGAACAATCTAATCAATCATTATTTGAAATTGATGATGATGGTCCAGATCTCCATGATCTTAATGATGTTAAAGAGTTTATTAAAATGACTTCAAAAGATGTTGCATTAGTATCAATGAAGGACGAAGATAAAAAAGATAACTCATCAGATAAAATGCATCAGTCTCCTTCTGTCAGCATAACAGCTGTAGATTTAAGTTCTATTCCTTCTCCACAAATATTACCACAGGTGACAGTTGATAGAAGGCCAAATATAGAAGTTATTCCCATACCAAATGTACCTAGTTCTATAACAATAACACCGATATCTGCAAAAACAATAGCTGAAGAGAAGTCTAAAAAAAGCAAAAAGGATGTTGATGGTAAACTAGAAAAAAAGAGAAAAAGGAAATTAGATACTGAGCCCACAAGTATACCTGAAAAAATTAAAAAACATTCTGGGTCTCTTAAAATGTCAGATTCCAGTCGGTCATCATCACCAAGTGATTATGCTTCAAATCAATTACCTTCAAGTACTATGATGATGAAATTAGGAAACGCCCAAAAATTAAAACAAAGTACGTCCCCTACCCTATCTATAAGTAGTGTATCATTGCCTAATTCTAATAAATATACAGTAACTTCTCCTAAATCAAATTCTGGAAAACCAAGTTTATCTGCTTTAAAAATGTCAGTCCACAGTCCAAAAAGTGAATCTAAACAAAAAAATAAAGAATTTTCTAAGGACAAGGAAAAACGAAGTTATGCTTCAAGTAATTCTTCGTTGAGTCAAAGTCCTAAAAGCTCAAAATCAAGTTCTAAAAAAAGTGATATTGATGACATTGGAACTCCTGTTCCTCCAGATTCGAATAAGGCACAAATGAAGTGCCGAAAACTAAATGCTGTGATAGACCATTTAACGAAGGCCAAAACTGCTCAACATTACTCTGTGGATTCTGAAGTACCGAAAAGTAAAGAATCAACACCGAAAGCATTTGATAAAGGAATAGTATTAAATACAAATGTTAATATAAAAAATCCTGAATCTTATCAAGTAAAACACAGTTCAGATGGTATGAAAATTACAATAAATAAAACAAGAACAAAAGAATCAAAACAAAAAAATTCTCTCACTGCTTCTCCTAAATTGGGTCTAAAATCTGGAAGTTCCAGTGGTTTGACGAATAAAAAAACTGTTTATTCAATCCCAAAAGCTGGTCCAAGTTCTCAATCAAAACAACCATTTAGTGTACCAAAAACTAAATCAAATTTAACAGTGACCAAAGTGAAATCAGGTAAAATACGTGGCGAGAACAAATCTATTTTTGGTAGGGCGGAAATGAGAAAATCTAGTCCAACTTCAAAAGATGAAGAACCTATGAAAGTAGTCAACCCCGTTGAAAGTATTATTAAACATAAATTAGATACAAGTAAGTTTCAAATTCCAAAACTATCTGCCAGAGCAAATGCTGACGAAAAAAGATGTGCTGAAACAAAGGCTGAAATTTCAAAACCCATGGATTTGGCTAAAAAAATTGATGTGGATAAGAAGTATAATCAGGGTGATTATATTTGTCAGAAAAAAAGTACTACGGAGCGGTTGAATTCATTACCTGGTATTACAGTTACAACAGTAGAAGAAAGATTAAAACCTAAGGAATCTGCTCTAAGTAGCTTAAAAATCGATTTACCTTTAATTTCGTTTCACACTCCAAAAGCCGACACAACTGTTGAGATGTCTGAGTGTAAAGACTATTCTCAGAAAAAAGAAGAAATATCAAATAATTCTGCTTATCAACAAAAGCCTGTCACTCCTGTAACGACATATGCAACAACACCCTCTGTATCAGTACACATTCTCAAATCTCCTGTACCATCTCCTTTACTAGTACCATCTCCACACTCCGCATCACCTTCCATTACAGATGAAGAACTTATTGATGATGCATTTGTTCGTGTTGGTAAATGATCATTAGTTATACAAAAGCCAGTTGTTAAAATTGGCTTTTGTATTCAACAACTCAATAGATTTACAATTTGTTAATTAATTTAATATTATGTATTTATTTAACTGACTACTTTTTATTAAAATCAACTTGATTTTATAACTATGAGAAATGTGTTATTATTTATCATATTGTTTTATACGTTTGTTTTTATTTTGATAATGATTACCTTTTTCTTTTTTCTTAATGTATATTTGTATTAAAATATTAGTTCTTTCGCACTAATATAAAAATAATTCACTGGTTTTTAATGTAAGACCAAAATTTAAATTTATATAATAAAAAAAAATTGTGATACTTATATTATAATTTCATATTAGAGAAATAAATTATTATATTTGTTTTGTAATATGAGCTAATAAATAATACTTCTTGAGAAAAATTTAATTTACATATAGTTTAATAACTGTATTTTTTTGCTTATTGCTTGTTTCATCGAATTGTTTCCATTGCGTGTTCTGTATTGATTATATAATCAACATACAAATATTATGTTTATATTTTTGAAGATAGTATTATACTCAGTAATATAACTAAAATAATTATTAATATATTATGTGTATACTAATGTTTTAATTATTATTTTATCATGGGCGAGCCCAGGGGGGTGTTGAATCCAACTCTCCCCCCTCGAAATTTTAACGAATTTAGAAAAAAAGAATTGCTCAATATTTTTATACAATTTAAGTTTAATAATATAAACATTTGCCAAGCTTATTTATACAATCCATTATAGATTTAGCTAGTACTGTAAAATTAATTATCAAGAGAAATAATTACCCACATTTGAAATACGTGTTAGTAATAATATTGATCCCCCCTAGAAAAAAATTTCTACGCACGCCTCTGAGTTTTATTAAAACTAGTAAACTACTTTACGTGCTCGTTAAGACGTAGTATTTATGATTTAATCTCATCTCCCATTAGTAATCTAACCATAGGTCCATGTATAAACGAGCAGTAGACGAAACATTTAATGGTAGCAAGAAGAAGATTAAACATGGACCATATGACAGTAAATGATTATAGTTTCACGAAAGTAGAAGTATTTAAATACCAAAGCGTTTAGATAAATAGCAACAACGACACGGAGAAATCAACGATCGAATAGCACACGGTAATCGATGTGAGTTTAGCATAATGAAACTATTGTCACGTAACTCAGATACTATAATACCACAGCTATATACGACTCATACTTACCGTAAACGTGGTCGTAGACCAAAAGATATAGTAAACGTTTAACTACCTTTAAAAGGAAGGTTATATATGGCTTAAAATATAATGTATAGTTGTAAAATAAACAAAAAACTACATTAAGAAGACCAAGGACCCGATGGATAGATGTTACAGCTTAAGATATTAAAAATGTAAAAGAAGACTCGGCTTTTGACGATGCATATGAAAGAGAGACATGGTAAAAGAGGATTTGTCATGACAGTGATGGCTTATAGGAAATTTATTTTACAAAAAAACGTACAGTAAAAACTAAAACTGTTTGGTAAGAAAGACGACCACAGAAATATAAACAAGGGGAGGTCAGAGTCAAAAACTTTTGTGAAGGTAAGTTATGACTATTAAGCCGGGTTTACACGACGCGAATCTGATGCGTGAGTCAAGATTCGACATGTTTCGTCCCGTCTGAACTTACCTTGGGTAATAAGCGAGTCAAGTGAGGATGCCTCGTGGTGAGCGGAAGGTTTGTCGGTATTTGGACGCGCGTCAAAGGAGATTCACACATTTGTTTCGCGTCATGTGAAGTGCCTCTTTGAGCGTCTTGCCACGCCATGGATCAAAATCAATGTATTGTTGCCTTGCATAAACTGTGGTTTGCCCTGAATCACATTGATTCGCGCATAGATGCGTATCGTGTAAACATGTAGGTGAACAGATGCCTCGCGAATCTTGCTTCGCGCATCAGATTCACGTCGTGTAAGCGCGGCTTTATACGTAAGAATACAAATTTATTAAAAATAAAAAAAATTGTATAATGACACTGAAATATTTCAAAATTTTAAATTTCATGACATTTTCAAACACTAATTTAACTATTCTTTTATTGAACGATATATAGTGCATGATATTTACCATGGAATATTTATTTATACGTTCAATTTCTGCAAAAATAATAAATTTACTAATATTGCAATGGAAACATGTATACAATTACATACTACTAATATTTCTTATTTAAAATAAGTAAAAAATAAAAAAAGGTAATTTCAGTACGTTCCGATTTGGTGCTTTCTAAATGAGGCGACTCTACATAAGGGTAGTCCATAATTTTTCGTAAATATTCATAATTAGTTTTCACCGATTACCGATTAAGCGACACAAATGCTAACCTGCTTTTTGTTTCATTCGTTGTTTTCCCATAACTCTTATTTGTTACTTGTTCAAGCCGAAATGTCTTCTACGCGTCTTTCGTACACTAACTCGCAATAGTCGGCAAAACAGAGCAAACTATATCGATAGTACAATTTATATTTTTGGTGAATAGCAGTTAAATTCTCCAAATTTTCACATACATCTTAGGCGCAACTAGAGTTCTATTTTGGGAAGGTTTATTTATTTTTTTTGTATCGCTTTGGTAAATTGCTCCTACTTTTTTATCTGTGTTTGTACTTATTATGTGAAGGATGGACAAATATTTGAGAGAATAAGTCCCCCTAGCCTCAAACTAATTGCGCCTATAACGAACATGTTAATAATGTCATAACATTTTAGTAAAAATAGATAACAAATAGAAAACTCTAATGAATCCAACCAGAAATGGGCTATAATCTCATTTTTAATGAATATTGTAAACTTTTAAAAGTCTGTACGAAACGATTTGTTAAGTCACCCAACGACACTAATATTGTACACAGGAACATTAATATTAAAATATGACGTACTGCCAGCGTTGCGAATCGTCCAACTACGTAAACGGATACAACGGAAATAAAACCGCAAATACCGGATTTGTGTATATTATACAGATACCGTGTTGAATATTTATGTCATGTACAAATGATAATTTACACAAGTAAAAATCGCACAGTTTACTTCGATTTATGCTGTAGTTACGAATTTATGTTGTATAAAATCATCACTTTACCCGTAAATGTTCATAATAGTTCTTATGTATTAATAGTACCGTCATCGGACTAAATAGCAGTAGATAAATCAACAATGTATTATTTAGAGTTAAGTAAAATTCAGCTGTCGAAATGTAAGCCAATTACAAATATGTTAATTTGCCCTTATGAACAACAACGTCATTGGGACAAATCTTGTGAATTAACATTATTTAGAAAAAAACAATGCATATTGCCTGAATCTTGTAAGATAAGGAATATCAACTTTGATTTTAATATCTAGTATAGACAAGAAGATACAAATTCATGAATTTATGTCACCACTAAAGAAAATATTATTATTAAATGTAAAAATGTTTCCGGGATAATAGTATTAAAAATAGACGGCATAGGTATTTTAGAATTAAGCAGCGAACGTGAGGCTATACCGACGATGGAACGCTTCTAGTTACAAAAAAGAAAATAGCAACGAAAATATCTACAGAATTTGATCCTCAATTAAACGAGTCACTAGATAAACTAACGCAATTATATATCAAGGACATTATTTTGAATAAAACAGTGATTGTAGATATGGCAAATCCAAAGATAAAATACAATTTATACAAATTATTAATATATTCAAACTCTTATAATATCTAAAAGATAACACAACAGAATAAATGATAGATTAAATGCAGATAAAAGAATGGTGGACGAAGCAGCAAGTTTCCAGATTTCCAATGATCGTGACAAGTGGAGAGGTTTAGTAAAAGCTGCAAAAGGCCTTAATGGCCCATAAAGCAAAAAAAAAAAAACACAACAGCAACCATAACATAAATATAAAAAATAATTATTTTTATATTTTCATTATTGTATCCATCGGTAGCGGTTTAGCAGTTTTATTAACGTTATTATTATAGGTATTATCAGTGGCGTAATTGTGGAGGGGCAAGAGGGGGTAAGTCCCCCTCTGACAAGTTTTTGAGAGTTAAATATATAATCCCCCCCCCCCCCCCCAGATAATCCAACAGTAGGTACAAATAGCACATTTTTATAATGAACTCTTATGGGTATTATTTAACGATATTGGTACCTAGTACCTGCTACCTACAATTTATGTTAGTCTAAACCAGGGATTTCCAACCGCTGTGCCACGGCACACAAGTGTGCCGCGAAATTATTCAGGTGTGTCGTATAATTTTTGTAATTTTATAATTTTTTAAGCATAACTAAATATAATAGTCAAAATTATTATTTATATTTATGATAGCATTGACTTCAAAATTCCCTTGAAAATAAAAAATGATAAAACAGCTATAATATTATATGGGATCCTATACTTTCCGATACGGTTGAACGCAACTGATAGCAGTTGCGTTGACTTTTATCACATACTA